CTCGAGCGCTCACTGAAATATTCACCATGTTTCCAAATGAAGCGTCGTACCTCAGCTCTAATGTCTCTGGATGTTTCAGAGTTATCAGAGTGAGGCCGTTTCAGGCCAGCTGAAATCCAAACCAATGAAATAAAACCAGATTCGCAGCAAGTCTGAGATTTCGTACTTTTTGCAGGCTCCATGTTGGGCGCAGCGGCTGAGCGGCACTCTGATCACACAGCTGCTGAAAGCCACAAACAAGGCGTGATGGTCCTTATCGAGCTCCAGGCCCAGAACCCTCCTGTCCTCCTGACCCTGAACGTTGCACCTGAGCACAAACAGAGACAGTCGGTTAAACAGAGGAACAGGAGGATTCGCCCGTCCTCAGAAGCACGTCTTACTTGGACGGGTTGTAGACGTCGATGTCCTCCAGCAGTTTGGATCCAAAGCTGTCATTTGGATGGGTGCTGGCCAAAACCTTCAAGACCCGCCCATCGTCTGAGCCCAGGAACATCACCGTCCGGTCCTTGAAAGGCCCGGCAGAGACATCCACCACAATCTGGGTCAACTTGGACCTACAAGGAAGACAGAAGATGAAATCTTTTCTCTGCGGAGGGAATTCAGACAGTTTTTCTTTACTCTGATGAGCTTGTGATTCTGAGCGAGGGTGTGAGGACGACAGCCTTTCACTCCCTGACCACGACCCTACCCAGAGTGAGGTTCCTGGTTTGGGCTGCTTCTCATCACTGACACAGTATTTCTGCCATGACTGGGTGATATATTAAATGAAAAACACATTTTTGGTATAACTGCTTTAAAAATAGGCAGATTTGTTTACTGACACAGTCCGTGAACACTTTTCATCCTGCTGCTATTAAAACAGTTCAAACCATGCAGCAGGGATGTGCAACAATAACAACAATAAAGTGCCATCTTTGCCTCACAGCTTCACACAGCTCCTCCTCTCTGACACAATTGGGGGCTAATCCGGGATCTTGTCCTTGAAATGAATTTCTTGCTATTTTTTATTTTGTATGTGTTTCTTTGGTGTTTATAGAAAAGGTTTGAGCATATTAACTGTGTTTGCATTCCTTCAGACGCTGAGTATTAGTCAGACAGACGGTGAAAGAAAACATAAAAATAAGGAAACGCAGATGTTTCTTCTCAGTGCAGGACGTCCATCAGAGGCAGGGAACACAGCAAGGTTCCCCTGTGCTCAGTCAAAGGAAGTGGAACCTTTTAGGTTTCATATATGGTCGGGATAAAGCTCAAGCCTGTCAAGCATCAGAGTGAATGAAAATGATTGGAGTGGATAAAGACATGAAACATCCTCTGGGGACCTCGATTTAACCACGGAGGGTTCCTTTCTATTTTACCTGTTACTGAATCACAAAGTCACAAAGACTGTTGGTATGTGAAAGCTTGGAGCGTTGTGGAGCAAAGGCTAATTCATACGCAGAAGAGCCTGATTCCTATTCCAGAGTGATAATTACAATCCATCAGAAACTCATTTGAAAAAGGTCAGAGACTTTCAGAGCCGCCACAGAACGAGAACTTCCTGTGAGCCGGCGACTAATCAGAGCTGATACCGATGATTATCCTCCAGGCGTTGTGTGGGGACGGTGGAGGCGGTAAGAGCTGCCGTGACTCCTAAACTCATCTCAACAGTGAGGGAGCTCGTGACGGCTCCACAGTTCACCGGCTCGGTCATTCGACGCTGAGGATCACTTTCCTGTTGCGTCGTGTGATAGAATACAATAGAAGACTAGAACAGACTTTATTAATCACCAGTTCAGCTCAAAAACAAATAAGAAAAACTAAGAATAAAACATCCGCAGCAACAGAATTCAGAATTTTGGTAAAAGAGATGAGGAAACCAGCCAGAATGGGCTCGCAGGCTCCATTTATGGCCAAAAACACAGCTGAGCTTTGAAGACCAGGACTGGACTCACCGTGACCACACGATGCCTCCAACACAGCTGAAGCGTTACCAGAGGTTTACTGAAACACTTTCACACATCAGCTTCCACCTGCATCGGGAACGTGAGTCGGCATGGTAACCTGAGCTCTGGCTGTGATCGTTCCCTGAAGTGAAGCTCAATACGATTTGACCAATCAGAGCACTTCTGGGATTTGAACCATTGCTGTTACCTGCTGGACGTCCTGGTGAAGCAGGGCCGGTCGTTGACGGAGGGAACAGCTTCGTCCATCAGAGGATACGACTTGATGAAGGTCAGCGTGTCGTCCGGGAACTGAACAGACGATTTGTATTCTGAAGCCGAGCCGTCGCCTGCACACGTACCAGGCCTGGACATTTAAGAATGAAGCAGACACGTCAGAGCTCGTCTTGGTCACAAAAACAAAGCTAACTGGGTTTAAGTAAGCGGGACTGAAAGCAAACTGGGATTTAGTCCTCACCTCGGTCTGGGGACTTGCTCGTCGGGTACGGGAGTCCAGGAGGAGTCGCTGGTCCTCTGCTCTTTGAACTTCCCGTTGAACACCTTCTCGATGTCGTCCATGTAGAAGGCACAGACGGCCGAGCCGGGGATACTGGAGAGAGACGGACGGCACGAGTCAGCAGACCTCCGTCCAACCAATCACAAACACTATCATCAACAATGACGTTCATGGAGCAGAGACAGTACGAGTTCAGCCCACGAACCCCAACTGCAGCATGCCACCGACTCACCGCTCAGTCCAAACTCAAATCATCCAGACAGTTCGCTGAGAGAGGGCGAATGCTGCGCCGCGAGGGTCAGTCACCGCGAGTACTACAGGTCTGTGAAGAAATGTGGGTGGGGAGCGGCGGGAGACATCCAGCACGAAACATGGAAACTGGTCCAAACACCAGCACGCTGCTCCCATCTTAACAGGCCCAGAGCGGCTTTGCATGAATCACAGTTCAGAATAATCCTTCTTTACCTGACACTGGATAAAACAGGCTGTTTAAGGTCCTCCCACTTTAAGCCCACCGTCCTGAAGTTTTAAACAGCAAGTGGGCGGGGCTTCTGGGTGCCTCATATGACCGTGCATCATTTCACTCTGATATCATGCAGCCAAGATTAGAAAACGTTCCTCCAATCACATTCCAGTAACACATTCACATCTCCAGCCTCCCAGCGACGCCCTCTCCTAAACTTCCTGAAGTCCCCTGGTTGTCCCCGGCTCATCCGAGAGCACGTCCTCAGAGGTGTGACCTCCATCACAAACACTGAAAAGCTCCACTAACAAAAATCCACCTCTCCAAAAGCCCCGCCTTCCCAAAATAACGGCCCAATAACTCATCTTCTAAAACCCGCCTGCTCGCTCCGAGTGTCCACACATTTACCGAGGAACAAGGACTTCTTCCCGAAAACACACCACAGCGTTCTCACCTCCTCCTCCAAGCACATTAGCTCTGAGCCTAATCAGACTCCGCCCCTCACAGCGGCGTACCTGTTGGCCTGAGTGGTGAAGACGCCGACCACGGCGGGTCTCTGGTTGATCTGCAGCACATTGGTGAGCGACTGGAGCACGTCGAAGTAGAAGAAGGAGTCTCCGGGCACCGAGCAGTTGAGCCGAGCCTGAAGCACACGAGCAGAGCGATGAGACACAGACGGGTAAAGTTCGGCGCTGCACGCAGCGTGTTCGCTACCTTCAGGAAGGACGTCCAGTATCGCTCAAGGACTCTGGGAGATCCCCCGTTATCGTTCTTACAGACCCGGGCCACCCGAGAGAACACCACCTGCAGACCGGCGAGAGAACAGGTCATTAAACCACCAGCACCGTGGTGATGGTCACTTCCTGTGACATCACCTTCACATGAAAGAATACAAAATCTAATTAACTGAACAGCCAATCACACGAGGCCTGACTAAGAGTGTCTTTACTGTCGGGTCACACTCGCACACACACACTCGCACACACACACACACACACACGCACACACAGCACACACACACACACACACACACACACACACACACACACACCACACACAAACACACACACACACACCACTACACACACAACACACACACACACACACACACACACACACACACAACACACACACACACACACACACACAGACACACTCGCACACAGTGTCACCTTGCCCAGCGTGGTGTACTCCACTGCAATCTCGCTCAGGAAGAAGTAGACGTAGTTCCCGTAGTCGATGGCGTGCAGGAAGTGCGGCTCTGCAGAGGGAGGACAGATTAATCAGCGATCACGTCTGTCACGTGTCACCTTCGCTCTGAGCATCAGCTCATCGCCATGGTTACAGCTGATAACAGCTGCTTTCACTGCACCGTCACACTACAGCCACTGCACAGTCCCGCGATTGGCTCATGCGTGCGGCGTTTACTCTGATCACAGGAACGTGTCGCGTCCTGGGACAGATGCCGTCGCCCTCGGCTTCGTGGCGTGCAGGTGTGATTCACCACAGCAGAAGTATGCGGACAGCCTCAGCAGGCTCGCAGTGAGCCTCGGCTTCAGCGGGTTTACGTGAGCCGTGCGAGACGTCAGCCACACCGATATAAACGACACCCTCGAGTTTACGTGCGATAACAAACTGCACGACATCTGAACGTGCGAGCGATGGAGCCGTGACCCACCTCGCAGCCACTTGGAGTCGTATTTGACGGTCCTGAGGACGGGGCGGCCCTCGCCCAGGCTCCTGTAGATGACGGCGTCGCTGGCCAGGAAGTCCGTCATGGTGGCCGAGTAGAAGTCTCCACCTGAGAAACATGGCAGGTGTATAACGTCACATTTTTACACGGGATGATAAAGAAGCACACCTGTTCACCTCCACACATCAAACACCTTCAGCCGGGACTTCTTCCCAGCCTCGTTTGTCCTTGTTTGGACCATCCAACAGAAACCACATCCTATTTTTCTATGTGTGTGTGCTGGAACAGAAACGCCGCTGACCCAGTTACAGTCGACTCACCAGCGAACAGTCCCACGTTGGACTGACCGGACTCGAAGGGACAGCGAGCCTGACCCACCAGCTCCTCCCCGACCTGCTCCAGCGAGGTCATCTGAGTGTGTGGAGCAAAGTAAAAATACAGATTAAACTACAAATCCCAGACAACAGACAGCAGCAAGCATTCTGTTACTCCCTCGTCTATGACAACGCAGATCAGCTGAGCGGGCCGTGACCTTTGACCTGCCTGCTGTGGTAGCCATAATGTATAATGAGTTCCTTTTTGTACTGATGATGTCATAGCGAGCTGAGAGCGCTCAGCTTGTACTTCACTGTCAGTGCAGCGGCTACGCTAGGCGAATCGGGGCCTCATAAATCCACCCGTCTGCAGGCCTTGAGGCGTCGCTGCCGCCATCTTTGACTCCATGCTCTGACCTTTCTGCTCAACCCTCCCTCTCTCTTCAACACTTTATCCACCTCTGCTTTATTTCGGTGCTTATTTTTCCTGAGATGTCAGACACTTTAGATTCTAGCCAATCGTTTTACCTTTCCAAGGATAGTAGGCGGGGCCAGGTACGTACGTTCTTTTAGAGCAGAGCTACAGATTAAAAATGTCCAAGGCGAAGCGGTCAAAGTCTGGCTGTACTTCACAGCAAAAGATGCAAACTCAGCAGCAACAAGTGCTTTAAGCTGATACTGTGATACTGTCAAAGGAGGTAACACCTCGAATCTGATGAAACACCTGGCGACGCATAGCGGTTTTTTTAAAAGCTGAGAAATGCGCCGTATTTGATAGCTTGCTGCGAGACCGAGCACATCTACTGCGGGTGTGGTAAATCTCCATTAGAGAGTCAGCGCATCGCCCCGTGCGTGGGGCTGGACGGTGCTTATCATTTTGCAGAAAAAAAGAGAATGCTGAAAATAAAAACATGCGAGGTTTTTGGACAAAGTTTGTTCTCCATTCTTTAAGCACCGGTTCGAGCACCGTTTAAGCACCGGCACCGTTTCAAAAGTACCGATTTGGCACCGGTATCGGATAAAACCTAAACGATACCCATCCCTAGCCTTGAGTGAGTCCCAGCACGAAAGCCTGGAGCTGGAAATGAGCCTTCAGGGCGCCTGTGCTAAAGCTAACAGCAGCGTTGAGGTGATTGGCTGTTTCAGAGCAGTGAGAAGATGAAGGCGTTTCCAGGTCCTAACAAAACTGCTCTTTGCTGGATGATGAAAGCGCCGCGTGTCAGAGGTGTCGCCTGCTCAGCTCCTCCCAGGGGAACAGAGCGCTCTGTGAGCTTCGGGTGAGCAGGTTTCCTTCTCACCGCCGGAGGTTTCAAAGCACACAAAGCTTCTGCTAAATGGGGTCATTGGCTGTCAATCAAACCGCAGCGGCACGGCGGCGTGATGGGAAAAGAAAATAAGAGCGCAGTTCTGGATTGACACCTGAAATTGTGGCTTTTGTTGTGAAAGTGTCGTTAGGTCTCGACAAGGGGTCCTGATCCACCTGACACTTTCAATTAGGATCCGGGGACGCCGTCATGTCAACTCTGCGCTCATTAACCTGACGCTGGTGACGGCGGGGGGAGCTGAGCGGCTGAGAGGATAATGGGCACGGAGAGAACAGACGCACTCAGACACAGCAGCGAGTTGTTAGGAAACAGTGACGGGAAACAAAGGCGGCGCTCACTTTATGCGACTGCGGTAATCAGTCACAGCAGCGCTCAGCAGGAAGCACGGCTCCATTTAATTGACTGGAATTAAAAAATTAAACATTTAAAAATAATAACTCGCAAAATATCAAAGTCATTACCTTCAGTTCATGTCAGAATGACTCACGTCCAGAAGCAGCAGGATGGCGCTCTCACCACTGAGCTGTGATTGGTCCTTTCATTAGTCCTTCACTCATTACTCATGGATACACAGGCAAACCTGTCTTACTGCTGCACCCGCAAGTTTCAAAAAAGCACCACTTTAACTTTGAAGGGGGACACTCTCCGTTTCCTGGTTGCATCCTTTTTCACATTTTACTGCAGCTGATCGAGAGTCTGAGGCCCTGTCTCAACATGCGTACTTGCGTTCTCGTGTACTCGTCATCAGTCGGAGACCAAGTACTGTTCCAGTTCAAAGTACGCATCAAGCCGAGAACGCGAAAAAGTCCCGGATGTGTTCTCGCTCCGCCCGTTTTATCGAGCATGCATCGGTGGTGACTTGTGTGTAGTTGGTACAGCTAAATATCCCAGAATGCATTACGTCCCAAACCCAAACGTGGCAATGGCGGACGAGCACTTTTAAATATTACTCTTTCTGGGTCACAAAATAAACTTTTAAGTTATTTTCAAGCGAGAATGTAGCTGTGTGAACTTCAGATATCTGCTCGATTTATCAAGATATCACATATTTCCAAACACGCTCCGACGTTTTCGGAGACGTCTGTGACCCGCCAGCTCCATAGCAGACAGCGAGGTCGAGGGTCACTAGAGCCGGCGAGAACAGCGGACTGCCGCACATCGTTTTTAACCCCCCCACTCAGGTTAAACATGATATGTAAGTCACTTAGATCACTTCTAAATGTTAATGTTTGGTGTATTTCAGTTTTATTTGTTCCTGAGTAAACCGGTTTGGCTGAGATTAAGCTTCATGACATATTACTCACAGTGAAATTAAGAGGCTCCAGACCTGAGACATCATCAAGTATGCTGGTGTTCCAATGGTACAAATCACGAGTCCGTGCTCGCGTTCTCGCCAAGTCCGGACTCGCCGAGTACACGAGCACGGACTCACTTGAGAATTGAAAAAGAGCCTGAAACCTGCGAGTGACCAAAGCAGCTGCCAGCTTTTCAGTGCAGCATCCTCTCTGCAACCCCCACCCACCCAACATTGTGCCAGCCCCACCCAACATCCAACCGACCAACACCCTAACCCATTGTCCGACACCCAAACACCCGACATTGTTCCAACCCCCACCCGACATCCAAGCGCCCGACATTGTGCCAACCCCACCCGACATCCAAGCGCCCGACATTGTCCAACCCCACCCGACATCCAAGCGCCCGACATTTGCCAACCCCACCCGACATCCAAGCGCCCGATATGTGCCAACCCCCCGACATCCAAGCGCCCGACATTGTGCCAACCCCAATCCAGCGCCGACATTGTTCCAACCCCACCCGACATCCCAACCCACCGCTCAGCCCCACATTGTGCCAACCCCACCCGACATCCAATGCGCCCGACATTGTACCACCGATCCAAGCCCCGACTTCAACCCCGACATTGCCACACCCGCATCAGCGCCCGACATCAACCCGCACATTGTTCCAACCCCCACATCCAAGCGCCCGACATTGTGCCAACTCCGCCGACATTGTGCCAACCCCACCCGACATCCAAGCGCCCGACATTGTGCCAACTCCGCCCGACATTGTGCCAACCCCACCCGACATCCAAGTGCCCGACATTGTTCCAACCCCACCCGACATCCAAGCGCCCGACATTGTTCCAACCCCACCCGACATCCAAGCGCCCGACATTGTGCCAACCCCACCCGACATCCAAGTCTCATTGGGATGACTTGAATTCAGCCCTCAAACACTCACGAGAAAAAGCTGAAGAGGGAAAAAATGAGCTTGCCTTTGCTTAATGATCGACTGTCTCATAATCCACACGCAGCCAAATACGTAAAGAAAACTAATAAAATTAAAGTCTAATTAAGAGCGCGCTCTCTGGGCTGGAGGAACTCCGACACGCTGCAGTTTAAAAGCTATGGAATTTAATATTCGGCTGCAGAAGGAGAGACACAACGCAGCTGTGAGTTCTTTAAAGCCCCCTCCCCCTCTCCGAGCACGCCATCTGAAGCTCACCTTGTAGTTTCGGCAGGTCGGGTTGAAGGCGTTGGTCCCGCAGGCAAACAGCGTCTCGTCGTTTCGAGGCACCAACACCTTCACGTAGTTGTAGCACTCGTCCTGGAACACAAAGGCAGAGTTAGAACTGTGAGGAAAACTGACGGAGCAGCAGAAGCAGAGGTGGAGGCAAACTCACGCTGTTCTTCCCTCTGACCGTGCACTTGCTGACGTCGTTGGACTTCCACGTCAGCTTCTAAAACACAGGAAGAGGAAAGTGAGGGCGTGATTTTCTCAGCATGTGGGGGACAGAGGTTTGATTAGACGTGAACACGCGTGCGAGGAGGCGGAGCAGCAACAGCTCACACACGCAAACCTCAGTCTCAACCACAACACCAAACAGCCACCTCTCCATATCAGCACCGACGTTCTACGCCTAACCCAGCATGCTTCACTTCTCTGCTGCTGAGTCATCGCTCCACAGAAAAATGCGACCTATTTGGGCTGATTTGGGTTTTAAAATAGAAACAGGACGCCTCAGCGTGCAGCCTCGCAGCGAGCATCATTTCACTCACACTCAGCGTGCATCAGAGGCAGCGTCAACAGGTCTGATACCATGCCAGAAAATGTAAACACACCTACAGATAACCTCGACAGACAAAAGCCCAGCCTGCAGCTTGAAAGAGGCGGGGCTACAGGCCTGTAAACCCTTTTATTCATGATGGATTTAAAGAAATGGGATTAGATCCCAGCTGGATACAGATTATTCCTGTCTCTCCCCCTAAAAGAACAGATGTGGGCGATCAGCGCGGTGGTAAAACGTGCTAAACCCGACGAGAACACGAGTCCATAACTGCAGATTAAAGCGCACACAGGCCGACGTGGTCCTCGCCGTGCCGCTCAGGTCGGAGCACCGATAACGAGAGTAACAGCTCACATCAAAGAGCTGCCGCCGCCTGCCGTCCCACAATGCACCGGGAGGCCCATTACCGTGAGGAGCCCCCGTAACCTCTTCTCTTTGATCAGGAGGACGTGTGCAGATCAAAGGAAGAGTGTCCTTTGTGCGTCACGCACAGTTTTGTTGTGCACGCTGATATTTACAGCGAGCACCGTGAGCAGGTCAACAGCAGGTCCACGCAGACACCCATCAGCACCAAAGGCTGCAGCGAGCAGCGCGGCACGCTGACATCATCGCCGCTGACGGCCAGCCGAGGAAAGGAAACATCTGCGGTTTCTGTCTGCCCAACAGAACATGAGCATCTCTCACCTCCACCTGGCTCCTCTCTCACGCTGGAGGACATTTTGGCGTCCACGTGGAGGGTTATCGTCACGCAGCCTGACACACTAACTTCAAAGCAATGAGCTGCAGCGACGGGAGGAGCAGGGAGCTCGAAGCAGAGCATTTCACTCAGTTCTCTCTGAAATGAACTTTTTGTTTCACACGACGCTGCTGGTGATGCTCTTCCACACCCACTGTGACGTGGAGTGCCACAGAGGTCTGTCCTCGGTCCCCTCCCATTAACTCTGCATGGATAGGGCCAGCTGTGACAGGGCGTCCAGCACTGCGTGGTGACGTACATACTACACTGAACTCCACGCTCTGACACGTGAGTGTCGTGATGTGAACAAGGCAGAAACGCACGTTTAAGAACCTCTTTGAGCTTCCTGTCAGTGAGCTGCTTGGAGGTCTGCTCAGCTCAGCCTTGGTCTGATGTCTTACAGCTCAAGCAGCTTCATGCTCGGCCCCACACCTCACAGCTCTGACTGCCTTCATGTGCACTCACAGATCATTGCATTTGTCTTTGAACATTTTATCCTAAGACCGCGTGTGAGGAACGCTCAGAGGCGACACCCCGGCAACTCCACGCAGCCATGTCGTTGTGTGTTTACCGAGCGATCGCACTCACCAGCTGTGGGACGACCTCCCCTGAAGCCATCGTCAGGTTGACTGCGAACACGTGATCCCTGCGGAGGTCAAAGCACAGAGTCAGCCTCTTTAATGTACTACGATCGACGTGCTGCCCATCCAACCCCTCCATGATGCACTTCCTATCAGGAACACTCACAGCTGTTCATTATTTATTATTGATTTTGCTGTTGATTCTAATGTTTCTGATAAAAGACATTCAGTGATGAAGTCTCGACCGCTCTCAGGCCATCTTCAAAGGCTCGCCTCAGATCCTTGCGTGTTCGCCGTGTCCTAAAAACACGGATCCTCATGTATGATCTGTGCTCTGCACCACGGTGAGGGATCTTAATAATACTCAAGCTCCAAAGGGCTATTGTGATATTCCAAAAAACTGACGTAAGAACTTCCGTCGCACTTTCTACAAAGACCTGCTGCGTGGCAGAAAGTCCTCGTGACGCTCTGAATGAATGAATTAGTATTTTGGTTCTTCCATGGCTCCGCGGTGTGTGTCCTACTCACAGCCCCGGACTTCATGGATATTTTAATGAGCAAACTAACAGCACAGAGCTAAACGTCAGCTGGGCAGGCTGGAACCATCCGGAGGCCAACGTACGTCCGATTGGTCACTTCCTGTTTCCAGAAATGTTCATTCTGCTGTTTATGTGACAAACGGGAACCAAGATCCTCTCAGAGTACAGCCGACAGCAGGAAACACTGGCAGACGTTCACCTGAGTAAAGGCATGTTCGTGGTCACGAGTCATCCCTGACTGTTGCTGCTCTCTGAGCTGGATTTGATTTTCAGGATCAACAATGAAACCAATTTATGGACAGCAAACGTGAAAAATGTCTCTTTGATTTCCTCCAGCCTCAGGTTTAAACTGACAGGATCATTTAAAGAGACTAAAACGATTTAGAGCTCATAGGAACACTTTGATGTTCACGTTGAGCCTGCTGACCGACTCACTACTGCAGTGCAGTGTGCAGCTACGGGAAACTCACTATTGTGTCCTCACAGGTCACGTTTACTAGTTTACTCAAGCTGCTGAAAACACACAAGTGTGCGTGCGTGTGCGTGCGTGTGCGTGCGCCGACCTCGCTGCGATGTACAGCACGTGGTTGATCCGTAGCATCCTCTGGAAGTCCAGGCCCAGCCTCAGCGTGTCGTTGTCCTGAAGCAAACCCTGAAACCCCGGGTACTGAAACGACTCTGTAAACGCACAAAAACATAAACGTGTGTGTGTGTGTGTGTGTGGAGAGCATGCTCACAAATGTGGGTGTGGTCAGTTAAATCAGACAGGAACACAGCAGAGATAGATTGTCTCCGTCCAATCAGATGAAGGAACGGTTGCTATAGTGATGTGAAATGACCACAGCGGGACGACATCATCACCATCACACAATACTCACGCTCTGAGCTGACCACGCTGATCGGCTCCAGGTCTTTGGGGAAGGCCGTGGTTGAAGCTGACTCAGCCGGCAACCAGGAAGTGAGCAGCAGCAGCAGCAGCAGGGTTGGGGGTCGCCATGGCGACAGCCAACAGGTCAGGGCCATTGCGAGGAAAGAAATGGAAGGAGGAGGGGGCGGTGGAACGGTGATGTCAGCAGGTCATGGTGGACGTCAGCTGTCAGGAGAAAGACACAGAAAGAGGTGAAGGTTAGACAGAGAGGTCAGAGTTCACCGACTTAGGAGCTCTTCTATGTTGTGCCATGCACGGAACAACATAGAAGAGCAAAGAAGGCAGTTCAAAAAAGCCCCCCCCTGACAGCCAAACCCATCTGTTCTCTGATTGGATTGTTACATTTGTGATTGAGATGACATTGACCAATCAGATGAAAGGAGGAAAAATAGGGTCAAAATTCGTACCTGTAACTTGCAGGGTCTTTTTGGCTAAGTCCACACACTAATCTCTTTTACAAGTACAAAATACTTATGACCACATTTTGAGCCCATACTAATGTTCACATTTTGGACAGAGAGGACAGATGGTTTGAAAGAGGAGTGAAAGAAGCATCTATGTCCACTGTGAGCGACCATCCCCAACTCTCTGCCATCTATAATCCAGTTTTGAGATCCCTCCCAGACGCCTTAACGCCCACTCACATCCTGGGCCATCTGACCTCAGGAAATCACATGATAGGGTGGGGCCAGGTTTCACAATGAACACACCCGAAACTCTGGCTGATTGTGGCTGATCTACCTAATCAGGCGATTAGAGGATCATCAGGGGGTCCTTTTGTCCCTCTGTGGGGGGAAACTCCCACTGGGTTTAAATCTGGGACTCTCCACCATTTGACCTTAGAACTGAAGAAGCTTCTTGGATGAGAGGTGAAACGTCTTTCAAGCAACTTAAAGAAGTCCAGACGCTTTTCTTTGCAAGCTCCTCAGACTACGATGACCTGGATGACTGAGAACCTTCACAGACATGTCAGAGTTCACCGCTCTTCAGCCACATCTATAAATCCTGAGGATTAGCATATCGCTCAGCCGTTAGCCGCGCAGTCACCCGACGGGCGTTGAATTCTGGCTGTCAGCACATTAACACAGAGCTCTCATAGCTGCACAGGTGTGCCGTGTCCACACCACCCACACCTGCACGGACACAGGGACCAGTCTAGGCTCTGTGGGGGTGTGGGAGGGTGGAGTCAGTGCACTGTTGCCTGCTCGTTCGTCGCATTTTTATCAGGCGCTGTAATGCTCAGTCGTTAGCAGGGTGCCCAGCGAGGCTGCACGAGCAGTAACTCCACCCCTCTCTGTTCCTTTTCTCCTCCACTGCTTCATGGACAGCAGCTTTCCATGACTCCTGCTTCATAATAATGCTTCTGTATCTGATCCTGGGCCTTGGAGAGGACACGGTTTGTCTGTGTCTGAAAAAAGCTGCTTTAGCCCCTCCCCTTTAACAGCTTGCTTCTGATTGGGTTCCCTTGCAAACAGCAGGTTTGACTAGTAGGTGGATGACAGGAACATCTGTTCTCTGATGTTATCTGATCTCCTGAAGGCCCCACAGTCCCACTGAGGACCTCTGTGTGTCTGAGTGCCTGTTTACATATGGTTGTGGGGACCAACAGTCACTAATGAGGACAAAAATGCCTGTCCTCATGAGTTTGAAGACATTTTTTAGACTCAAAATGTGGTTTTAGTGTCAGGGTTACAGCTAGGCTCAGGGTTATGGTAAGCAGCAAGAAAGCATTATGTCAATTAGATGTCCTCACTAAGACATAAAAACGAGAATGTGTGTGTTTGTGTGCTGCAGGTCAATAGGAGCTGCCGAGGGCGCCCCCTGTAGGCAAGCCCCTCCTCCGCTCGCTGGTGTCACAGTGAGTGAGCATGAAGGTGAACGCTCTCCTCTCCATCACCTCCTCCTTCCTGTCGTCTCCTCACCTCACACCTGACAAATGAAAGGTGGAGAAGGCGGTCCCAGAGGTGACGAGTCCACTCCTCCTCTTTATTCCCTGGCCTAGAAATGGAGGAGAATGAAGGAGGCGTCACTCCCTCCTCCAGTTTTGGATCTGAAAATATCGCTTTTCTTCCTCCTCCTCCTCAGAAACATGATGGAGGCCGCTGGTGCCAACACCTTCCTCGTCTCCATTACAAGGTGTGAGGAGGAGACAGGCGGTAGAACGTGGAGGAGTCTGAGCATGCCCACAAACTGCTCCCCGAGGAGCGAGCGCGTCGCCATGGTCACATACAGCTCACCGTTTCTGGTCATTTCCAACATGGCTGCCTTGTAATCAGCCCTGATCTGAGGAAAGCTGCTAGAATGATCACTGCATGCATTAGTGCTTCGAGCACCAGGCCACGCCCCACACACGCTGCAGAGGACGAAACATCCAGCGTACAATGACGTGGCGATGGGATGACAGGCTGAGAGAGGAGGAGGTGGCGACCTGCAGCCGGGAGCGCCGGTGATGAAACGGGTTCAACTGACCAATCAGATTCACGTTCAGTCAGAGATCGGAGCTCAGAGCAGCCAATCCAAAGTCAGGAACTCTGAGGCACGACAATCCCAAAACCACGGCACGGGACAGTTACAGACGTGTGCGACTGCAGAGGACGGCGATGTGTTCAGGGACCTGTGCATCACAGGGGACACATCAGCTCCAACACAAGCACTACATGTTGCTACAGATACGTGGCGAGAGCGCGCTCACACAAACAGTAGCTACAGTGAAAATACCAGCAGCTGATCCAGACGTTATCCTCTGCCCTACACTACAGGCCGCTGCATCAAACACATTCACACGGGTGTATTCTGGCACCATCACCCCAACACGATCGCACAAACAGGCATTTCCTCTGAAATCAACACGAATCAAACAGCAGCAGGTAAAAAAGCTCAACATCACAAAAGTGCGACGCAAAAGATCAAAGACGTGAAGAACAGACAGGAAGTCCCAGAGTGGGAGGACGATGTGTGTCCACTCAGGACGCCAGTCATCGTCACTCTGCAGCTCTGCCCAGTTTAAACAAACCTGCTTTATGAGACTGACACCTACATTAGGAGGAGCCCGGCTCAGTCTAATCTCTGGGAGCTGTACCCAGCCCAGGGGACAGCTGGGCCAACTAGGGGCAGGTCAGTTTCAGGACTTGTCCAGGTGTGTCTTTGGGAGGTGATCAGGTGTGTGTGTGTGTGTGTCATTCCTTAAATCATTAGTTTGCTGCTCGGAGCCAAAGAAGCCCTCATGTCAATTCTCATTCAGTGAGACAAGCCTGAGACCCCCCCACACACACACAGCTCACCTTGGAGATAAGGTGGCTCTATTTAGGCCGTCTTTGAGACATTCTGTCTGGAGCCTCGTCACATTTCCTCACGAGGTCTCTGTGACAGAAACTCATTACTATGCGCAGGTACACATAGAGGTGTTTAGGTTTGACCCTTTTGACCCTTAATGTGCCGCAGGACTGTCTCTTCCCCTCGAGTGTGTGTGTGTCACTGTGTGTGTTGTGCTAGTTAAAAGCAGCTGGATGTGCTTTTGTCGGTGGATGAAGGGTGGAGGGCTAAGCTATCAGCTAATGCTAGCAGAGCGTCACACAAGCTGTGTCCCAAAACGTCGACTGCATCCTTCTCGGTCTTCGAAGGACCCGGCCCACGTAGACCGCGAAGGCCGGGTCCTTCGAAGACCGAGAAGGCCGGATGTGACTGCTGGTAATTAGGCCGGCATTTGCGTTTGTTTGCCTCTGCGCTAAATCCTGCTGGGTGCAGGTATCAAGGAAACAGCAGCTCCTCTGTGAAGAAGCAGACAGGAGCACAAATGAGAGCTGCTTTCATTTCATCCAGTAAATCAGCCTCAGCTCATTACCAGCTGTGCCGCCGCCGCCTCCAGCCGTTTATCCTTCAAACGCGTCGATATCGCCCAACAGGAGCCGTTTAAGGAGGACCTGCTTCTAATCCTGCACCCCCTGACTCCACAGGGCCCCTCCGGCAGGTGCTGGTCTGGACTTCACCTCCACCCGTGTGATCCCAGCCCTGTCCTGCTGTCTGGGTCGTCGTCCTCGGGGCACATGACCTTTCACACTCGTGTACACTGATTTATACAAAGACCACATTCAGATCTGATCGCACGCGATCTGGTTCAGCGGCGTCCCGTCTGACTGATTACACATGACTGCAGGGCTGATCGATACGCCGCGGCGCTGCGAGGGAGCAAACGCGCTAACGTGAACATGCCAGTGCTCCCCGACACAGCGACGCACAGCTTGTGTCCATCAGCAGCTCGCAGGCTTGTCAGTGATGCTGACACTGTGTGACGTGGGTGTTAGATCAGATCCATCTCTTCAGCCCAGCCGTCGGAGCAGAGCTCTTCACCCTGACTGGAATAAACCAGGAAACTTGCACCACACACACGTGTGTGTGTGTGTGTGTGTGTGAGCGCCTGTGTGTGTGTGTGTGTGTGTGTGTGTGTGTGTGTAGTGAAGTACCATCCCTTGGAGCAGGGTAACGGAGAGTGCGCGTGATCGTGTAAAGCAGACGATGGAGGCTGAATGGAGGTTGGTTGTTGCAGGCTCCGCCCCCTTGGGCCTGTGACTGTTTCCAGCTGAAGTGTGTTGCATTAATGCACGGCGTGTGGAGCGAGCTCACAGCTAATCCACGCTGTAATCGATCTGCAGGGCTCAGATTTGGGCGGCACGGTGACACGTCTGTTAAGCTCTGTGAAATCCTGATGTCACAGCGCCTGAAATCGGCTCTTTGTGTTCTCCTCTCATTTGATGCACGCCGGGAACACGAGGGGAAGCTCGCCAAGCAGCTCCTGGCTCCGGTACAGATCTGCTTCCTATGAGTTTGGAGGTGCTGGAAAGAGCCATGAGTGGCTGTTACATCCTCCATGTCTTGAACACAGATACACAAAGAGAAGCGTTTGGCATCGAGCTTCCTGCAGTCTGTGAGCGACAGGACTGGACTGATGTGAGCTTCATCTCTGCTCATCTTCATCATTACAAACAGACTGTAGATGATGATGACGACACGACTGAGGAAGGCTCTGGAGAAAGACTGTTTTTATAATGTTGTATATCTGTTGGTGGACCGCAGACAAACCATGTGACGTGAATCATGAAAGCTGTCACATGAGGTAAAAGACTCCATGTGATGAAGCTGCATGCAGAGGACTGACAGCCACAGAGCTCTGATTAAATGAAAGGCTGCAAACGTGAGCAGACACTTAGAGCTCAGCACTGAGTCAGCCTGTCGCATGATTGGCTGGCAGCAAGAGAGCTTCTGAGGAACGTTAGCGTGGTTCTGAAGGGAGACCGTACTTACATTTTTACAGAGTGAAAATCTGCTGCGACGGACAGGTGAAGCCTCTGGATGCTCAAGTGACAGCAGCAAAGCAAACAGGAAGTCAGGAGGCGGGGGTGCACCCCCTCAGACGTCCTGCAACAGCAAAACGATAAAGTTTAAAAGGACCAAAACATTTGTGCTTCAAGCTTTGAGCAAACATGACGAGCTGCTTTTAACAGTCTCTGTGGTGTTTTGATTCCAGACGCCTCATCAGGACGGACCTCTGGCTGTGTACCATGGACCAGCCCAACACATCAACCAATCACAAGAGAGGACAGTGAACCACAGCTTGATGACCAATCAGTGCAGCTCGCTGCATGAAGACATCCTGACATTAAAATTATTGCCAGCTTGGAATAAAAACACTCACAAAAACTTTCCTGAAACCTGCAGGTCAACACACAAAGTACCTGCAACACACCAACAACACGCCTGCAACACAACTGAAACACACGAGCAACATGTCGACAACGCACTTGTAATACACTTCCAACACATGTTGAACACGCCTGCAACACATGTGCAACACGACTGAAACAACCCAGGAACACGCCTGCAACACATGTTAATCAAACCAGCAACATGCCAACAACACCCCTGCAACACACTGTAACCAACACCTTCAACACATCTCTAACATGACTCCAACACAAGTGAAACACACCTGCAACACACCTGTCACATGACTGAAACACACCAGAAACACACCTGCAACACGCCTGCAACACCCCAGAAACACGCCTGAAACATGACTGTAACACGCCTGAAACACGCCTGAAACATGACTGTAACACGCCTGAAACACGCCTGAAACACGCCTGCAACACACCTGTCACATGACTGAAACACCCCAGAAACACGCCTGCAACACGCCTGCAACACACCTGTCACACGGCTGCAACACACCTGTCACACGCCTGCAACATGCCTGAAACACGCCTGCAACATATCACCTTTTAGCTGAATCTTTAACACTAGCAAGAAAGCAATGTATTTATAAAGCACTTTCAGGTGCTGTACACTTGATACATTAAACAAGTTAAAAAAAAGAAATAATATAAATAGAGGAAACATATTTAAAAAAAATAAGATGATAATTCAAATAATATTTAAAACAATAGAATTGGCACAAATAGCAAAAGCAATAATAAAATAGTATAAAATGATAATTAGAATGACATTTAAAACAATAAAATCAGGGTCAGACTGTGTCATAAGCCAAGGAGTAAAAATGGGTTTTAAGACGTGTTTTAAAAGTGGACAGTGAGGGGGCCTCTCTAATGTGCTGGGGCAGAGAAGGCCCCGCCCCCGCTGAGCTTCCTCTTGGAGCAGCTTGTCAGCTGGCCTGAGAGACCTGGGGGGTGGGTAAGGACGAAGAAGCTCAGAGAGGTAAATTGGGGCAAGACCGTTTAAGCCAGGGGTGCCAAACGTACGGCCCGCGGGCCGGATCAGGCCCACAAACGGGTTTAATCCGGCCCGTGAGATGATTTTGTAAAATATAAAAATAGGCAGCAATTTTTCAATAAAGAAACTGCTGTTCCAATTGTGTCCATTGGATGGCGCAATAGCAATTGTGAGCTACTTTGTTTTGCCCGCGAAATTTAAACCTGATGTGCTTTGGCACCCTCTTTGCCCCAATATGTCTGTGTCAAAAAGAGAAAAGTGGCTGCAGAGTGCAGAGTGTTCCAAGAAAAATGGTCATCCTCCTATTTGTTCACGGAAGTGAAAGCTGTATGCTTGGTGTGTTCCCAGCATGTTGCAGTGCTGAAAGAATATAACCTCCGTCGCCACTACGTGAGTCTTCATGCCGACAAATATGACAACTTTCAAGGACAGCGGAAAGAGAGAAGGTGAATGAACTGTTGGCGGGTCTGAAGAAACCGCAGTCTGTGTTTACTCACAGCCGAGGCATCAGTGACGCTGCAGTGAAAGCTAGCTACCTCGTTGCCAACGACATTGCACTAGCTTCAAAACCCTTTAGTGAGGGTGAATTTGTAAAAACATGTATGATGAAGGCATCGGAGATTGTGTGCCCCGAAAAGCGCCAGGCCTTTGCAAATATCAGCCTGACAGGAAACACAGTTGCCGACAGGATTTCTGATCTTTCAGCGGATTTGGACAAAAAAATAGTCATTTATTGTGTTTTCAGTTGCAATTGATGAAGGCAGATTACAGATGTTGCACAACTGGCAATTTTCATCCGCGGAGTTGATGACACATTGACCGTCACCGAGGAGTTCGTGGAGTTGGTACCGATGACAGATACAGCGACCGCAGCTGATATTTTCACCGCACTCGTCGGCGCGCTGGACAGGGTCGGAGTGGACTGGTCCCGCGCTGTCAGCCTGGCTACAGATGGTGCGCCCTCAATGATCGGGAAGAAAGCAGGCGTTGTAAAAAGGTTCAGAGATAAAGTGCAATCTGCAAATGGAGGACGTGGTTTTTGGACTTTTCACTGTATTTTGCACCAGGAGGCTTTGTGTTGCAAGTCACTGAAAATGGATAACGCCATGAAGGTGGTCATCCAAACTGTTAATTTCATCCAGAAGCCTCAATCAGCTTCAGTTTGACAGTCTTCTCAGAGAGAAAGACCACATCTATGGCCTGCCATACCACACTGCGGTAAGATGGCTGAGCCGAGGTGCTGTGCTGAGGCGTTTCTTTGATTTACGAGAAGAAATTGAACAGTTTATGGAAGAAAAGGGCAAACCAGTGTTAGAATTTCATTCTGCAGAATGGATGCAGGACCTTGCATTTATGGTGGATGTTACAGAGCACCTGAATAACTTGAACAAACAGCTGCAAGGACGCAACAAAGTTGTCACGCAGTATTATGACAGCATTTCAAGTTGAAGCTGTTATTATGGGAGACGCAGCTGCTGGTGGTGATGCAGCTCACTTCCAAAGTGTGGCGGATATGAAGCGGTTCAAAGATAAAATAACGGGACTGTTACTAGTTTGAGCAACGATTTCAGATTTTTGGTGAACTGGAGAAAGACTTCAAAGTTTTGTGCTCGCCGCTCACCGTGAATCCCTTTGATCTGCCCGTCAGCATCCAACTTGAAATAACAGACTTGCAGTGTGACTCGGATTTGAAGGGCAAATTTGCCGCAGCTGGCTTGAACACATTCTGTCAGAATCTCTTGCCAGGTTACCCCAACTTGACGCCCTCGCTGCAAAACTGTTGTGCATGTTTGGAACCTTTGTGAGCAAGTTTTCTCTGTAATGAGCATAAATAAAACAAAACTGCGCTCAAGGCTCACGCACAGGCACTCGAATCACATCCTGAAGTTAGCTGCCGCTCAGGATGTGAAGCCTGATATTGATGAGCTGGTGAAGGCTAAAGATGCCAGGTATCAGGAGTCACATAAACGATGCAACCCCACTGAAAGTGCTGCATGAGACACCCTGATGTAATTCTGTGATCTGTGATATACTTCTGTGAATCACTGAGGCGCTGTGTGCTTGTTCTTTGTCCTCAGAATTTTCAAATAACTTGAGATGTTTTATGATTAATAGCTACTGTATGTTGTGCCTGTACTACTTTGAACACAGGCTCCAGCTTTATTTTTATGTTGATCGTATTAAAACAAAGAAAACAATCTGAAGTTGTTGTTTTTAAGTTATATACACAATGATTTTACCAGTCCGGCCCACTTGAGAATAGACTTCTCTCCATGTGGCCCCTGAACTAAAATGAGTTTAACACCCCTGGTTTAAGCATTTAAAAACAAACATGAGAATTTTAAATGAACTGTGTTCACACCGAACGCGATAAATCACAAAACATAAATCTTACATAAAACATTTTGTAATTATACAGGCAGCCAATGGAGTGAAGCCAGGATGGGAGTTATGTGCTCTCTTTTGCAAGTTCTGGTTAAAGGTCGTGCAGCAGCATTTTGGACCAGCTGCAGACGAGAGAGAAGATGCTGACTAACTCCACAATACAGCACATTACAGTAATCCAAACGAGATGGAATAAAAGCATCGATTACTGTTTCAAAATGTTTTAACATCTTCTTCAGCTCTCAGCGAAGGCGGTCACACTTTTTCTCCTCCTCCTCACCCTTATCTTCCCTGCTCAGCCTCTATGTCCTTGTCTTGTCTCGTGTGCATTACTTTCCCTGGAATAGTCTCCCACTGTCGTTCTCTAAAACCTAAAAGAGAACTATGGATTTGATCAACTGGTCTCTGAATGCTACTGACTCCCTTCTCTCAACGAGAAGTCTGGGCTCGGGAGAGCCCGAGTGCCCTGGAGGGACTTTCCCTGCCGGATACACGATGGACGGGTGGCAGAACTGGAGGGTCGTGTGCCTGGCGGGACTGTCGATCGAGGACGCTGAAGATATCTATCTATTCGGAACCATGATAACAGGGTTCATGCTGATCGGAGTTGGCTTAGCCCTGGTTTATCGGAGAAATAAGAGAGCGGAACCGGCTGTTCAAACCCCCCCAAGGCTGCCCGCTGGAATCGAAATGGAACGAGGCGCGACCTCTCACAACGAACGTAATATGGTCAACACCTTGGAGACGCTTGCAGCTGCTGTGAAGGCTCAAAACAACACCATTGAGCGTATGAGGGGAAACATCAGAGAGAGGCCTGCTCAAAATGAGACCCTTGAGCGACAGTTGGAAAACATCGCGGAACGGATCACTGCAGTTGTGAGGTCTCAGAATCAAAAGAACGATAACACCATGGAACAGAAGTTTGATACCATCATGGGGAGGCTCGCGACTCTCCAACGGGAGATTGAGAGACCAGCGTCGGAGTGTTAAAGAGCAGCCTGAAAATTCTCCTGGGCTGCTCGCATGGAAATTAACAAAATCAACATGAACATTGCGGATCCCCATCACGGCGCCAGCTGCAGGCCCAAGGCTGGAGCCGAACAATCACTCCCTGATAACGACTGTGTTACGGCTATTCTTCCCATCCCATGCAAGGACACCTGGATTGGCTGGAGGACTGTTTACTTAGCCTGATAGGCCGAAGGACACTGTCTCAGCTGAACTATGGACACGCACACACACACACTTACACTGATAGGCACTCACTCATCCCCCCTCCCTTTCCAACGCCTTCGATGCTTGTT